CTTAGTAAAGGTATGGATGAATCGAAAACAGGGTATGTTTCAAACTCGAAACCAACCGTTACGTTTGAAAGTTCTGCCAACCACTGTTTGGCAGAAAGAAAGCCTAGAATGTTCTCATTATTCCAGGTTTTGGAGAAAAGAAAATCTGGAGAAATTCCAGAGGTGATTTTATGGGGTGAGGAGGGTGAGGATGATGCACATTGCCCCCCCCAGCTCCCAAATGTAGCCTCCCCCCCAATCACTTTCACTTCTCCTCCTCTCAGCTGCCATTTTTCTACTGTTTTTCCTCCAAACGTTTTCAGCCTGGAATAACCGTATTTTAGACTGTACCTGCAACAAAGCAGCCCCATTGCATTCTGTGCATGGACCAGCGCTTCCCTAACATTTTGCTTAGCTGTAGACTACATGCACGGAATGTTTTACGTGACTTTATTGCTTAGAAATATTTTCTCTACAGCAGCTTCTCTTTGGAGTCTGTACGGTATAGTGTAAGCAAAACATTCCTCCAGCTTGGTAGATGGACCCGGACCATGATCAGGGTTGCAGCAGCTGCTACGTTAAATGGCCGACTGACTCATACAATCCTTACAAGTACATTAGTGAGCACATGTAGGTTAAAGCCCAAATACTGAGAAGTGTTTTGTTTAGTGTTGTGCCATGAAAACAAATGTAGCCTGCAACTAGGAAAATGCCCAGTGCTGTATTATTAACTTTTGGTAATGAACCTGTTCTTCCAATAAAATGGCAGAGCACCCATGAAAGACAAATCCGAACTCCTAAAACTGCAGATAAGATTGCAGATATATTAAAGCCACACATGTTATAGGAAGAAGAGGTTTGTTGCAAAAAGTTAATAACATTGAGCATTTTCCTAGTTGTGTGCTGAATCTGTTCTCGTGTCACATTTTTCTGGTGGCCGCCTGCTTGATTTCAACCAACACAGGATGAATATTTTCTTCTGGCTGATGGAGCCCTGGTGCACAGCATGATCAATGGGGAGTTTTAATTTTTGTGTATCTGTTCTATGCAGGAATGCATTCTCTCTGGCATTATGTCCGTGAATGGCAAAAAGGTCCTTCACATGGATCGCAACGCTTACTATGGAGGTGAAAGTGCATCTATTACACCCCTGGAAGATGTGAGTATTCCCCTGCATGGTTTTCTTTTCTTTTTGGGTTGCAGTTCTCCATTGAAAGACCTAAAGATTTGGTGACACCATTGATAGCCTGGTGGTGCTCTTAACAGTCCTCCTCTCATAGAGCCCCATCCAAAACCAGATAGGCAGGGCAGCTAAGGGGGGTAGAACATGAGCGCCGTTGAATGGGGATTGATATAAACTTGGATCATTTGCCCAGCCTTAGATATCAGAATTAATCTCCTGCTCACCTGGTTCCTCTAAAGAGGGCAGGCTGAGGGCACCATTCTGCTGTGTGATACAAGAGGAAAACTACAGGGGAATTGGCTAGGTAGAGGAGATGGGAACCATGAAAGGTACCCAGAAGTTACTGTGGATTTCTTTTGTTGTGAGATGGGAATGGAACTTGCTCTTCGAGGTCTATTTTTTTTCAGCTGTAAACTACTGGTTAGGCTTGTCTTGCCTCTGGCTCTGTGTGTGTGTGCGTGTGTGTGTGTAAGCACTATCAGCTGGAGTAGACTTTTTTAGGTTGCTTCAGGGACTTTGCATCACATCAGGTTTTTCCCTTCCTGTCGAGCCTTGCTTGCTGACTTGATCACCATTGTCTCCTGCACTGAAACACTCTTAGGGCAGGTTTTGAGATGATGGGTCATAGGTTGGGGAAACTGTAAAGTAATAACCAGTTGAATTACTTAGCTCATGCCTGGAATTTGGGAAGAAACTGAGCTGGAGGTCTCTCTGTCCGTTAGCTGATGCTGGATTACTCGGCCATTCTTGTGGATTTTTTTATCAGATTGGGTAATTCTGCAATATGCCTGTGGGATGGCTGATTTTGCTGGCAACTTTTGATAGTCTTGACAGTGGATTTCCCTGGAGGTGTCTGGTGAATTGGTGAAATGAAACTGTTTTGGGTTGTTACAGCAGATCATTCAAACCATGTTATTTTCTGTGTAAAAGTTTATGAAGGGAAGAAAGAACATTCATTAATTCAATTTATATAGCTGCCCATCTCAGACCAATGAGTCTGGGCAGCTAACAACAATAAAAACAGCCAATATTTAAAACAATACAAAAAATTAAATATAAATATAAATGCAGCCAAGAGATCTTTAAAAACTGTTGGTATCAGCACAACCATGAAATGGGGCCCTTCACATGCTCGGGGCCCCAGGCCTGGGCATAAAGCCAGGTCTTCAAGGCCTTCTGAAAAGCCAGCAGGGTCGGGGCCATCCTAATCTCAGGAGGGAGGATGTTCCAGAAGGCAGGCGCCACAGCAGAAAAGGCGCGTCTCCTGGTCCCTGCCAGCCGACATTCCTTGGCTGACGGGACCTAGAGCATGCCCAGCCTGCTGGACTGGATTGGACGGGTAGAAACAACTGGGAAAAGACAGTCCCTCAGGTAACCCGGTCCCAGGCCATGAAAATTGTGAGCCAGAAGGCTGTACTTCCAGGCACCAGCTTGGGATCCTTCCTACGACTGGCCTGAATTTTGGACCTGACTTTAACATGCTTGAAATGTTCCTCAATCTTGTAAGTCCTCTGCTATTTCAACAACACACATGATCTGAATTTCCTTCCAGTGCAGCAACTTTTTTTTTTTTTTGGACAGGGAGTGGGTGTCTATCATTGAGGAAATTAAGGCATTGCAGGAATTGATGTCATTTCTGTCAATTTGCATCACTTACCTGATATTGGAAATTAGGTCATGTACGTTACTACACACAGGATGCCAGTCCCTGTAGGAATTTGAACATCTGCATCCAAAGTCTTGTAAAACGAGGTTTTGTTGTATGGTTGTGGTGGTTGTATCTTTATTTTCAAGGGTTAGTGTGTTGTCAAGATCTGTGGTGGGTTTCCAGAATCACCTCCAAGGGTTGATATGTAGATAAGCTGACTGGGGCAGGCTTGTATGTTCTGCTGGCCGTACTGCACCCCAGCTCTACTTCCTGGGTGGGTGAACTGCACAGTCCATCCTAACAGCATATCCTTTTATTCTGAAAAGCTGTACAAAAGATTTCATCTGCCAGGATCAATACCGGAGTCGATGGGCCGAGGAAGAGACTGGAATGTGGACCTGATTCCCAAATTCCTTATGGCCTGTGGTGAGTGGCTGGAAACATCCTTGGCTTTCTTCTTCTGCTGGAAATGAAATGGTGGCATTTCCTTTTAGTTTGGGGCCTCTTAATGTCTCAGGTATCTGGAAATCTTGCAGCACACGCTGCAGCCGTGCCTCTGGACCACTAACACTAGCACCAGATTGACAAAGAGCCGTGTTAGGGTCTCTTTCAAAGGAGCCTCTGTGTTGCAATATTCTGTTTGTTGCTTATTTGTGGCAATGCCCTGGGTTTCATCTGTCTCATCTGTTGCCAAAGAAGACGGTCGTGGGCATCCTTTTGTTTTAGATTCAGATCGTGTGGTCTTGGCTCCAAACCAGCCATTCCAGCTTTAACACTTGGCCATTATGGAGAGTAACCATGCCCAGAACTTCAGAGTTGAGGAGATAGCCTGTAACCTCTCTCACTTTCTAACAACCTTGAACTTTGAGAGTGGGTTTGTGCAAGTTCAAAAACACTTGAGGCAAATTGGTGAGGTTGCTGCACCCCAACACCCTCTCTTAGACTGTCATCTTTGTTTCTGGGCAGGTGGGCATGTTTTCTGAGAAAGTCCTGGGGTTCAGTTTTACTTCCTAAGAACATCTGTGGGCTTACGTGGGATGAAAGGCATTCCTGAAGATAAAGCATGTTAGGAGGTGGCACTCTGCTATGCACCATGCTAGCTTTCTATTGAATGCATCAGATTCAGTATCATTGGGTGGAGCAGGGAGACCCATCCCAAGGTGCCTTGTTATTCACAAGCAATGTTGTAACTGACTCTGAGTTAAAATAAGCTTTATTTTGAGAGCTTCTGAGGACTACATTTGACATAATGAAAGATGTTTGGAATTGCTCTGCAGTCTCCATCCTGCCTCAAATCTCCATTTATCTCCAACCATACATCCCCCAGGTAGCTCACATTGGACTTGTTTTGTCTGCAGGCCAGCTGGTCAAGATGCTGCTCTACACAGAAGTCACTCGCTACCTGGACTTCAAGGTGATCGAAGGAAGCTTTGTCTACAAGGGTGGAAAGATCTACAAAGTCCCTTCGACTGAAGCAGAAGCTCTCGCATCTAGTAAGCAGATGACCCTTTCTCTGCCTTCTTGGATCCCACCAGTGGGTTAGGATGTGGGTTGTAAGATAGTTGTATGCTAAATTGGACTGTTTAAGGGTTGTGTATGGAGTGCTCAAAGTACAGAAGTGAAATAAATCCAAGACCCAGTCTGGATTTACCTTGCAGTCTTGCAGAACAGAGCAGATAGTCTGAAATTGAAAGGGACAGGCTAGTGGAACTGCCCCTGGTTGTGGTCCATCAGGGTGTCTTAGAATAGCATTTATTTAATTAATTGATTATGTACCATCAAGCCAGAGTTGACTTTTAGTGACCACTTAGATAGACCTTCTCTGAGATGATCTGTCCCCAACCTGGTCCTTCTGACAATGCATCCATTGTGGTTATAATTAAATCCATCCCCCTTGCTGCTAGTTTCTTCTCTTTCCTTCCACCTTTCCCAACATCAGAACCTTCTCCAGAGAGCTGGGTCTTCACATAATGTGTCCAAAGTAGGGTAATTTTGAGCCCAATCTTTTGTGCCTCGTGTCAAAACTCTGGGTTGATTTGTTTGATGATCCATCAGTTTGTTTTCTTGGTCATCCACGGTATCCTCAGGAGTCTTCTCCAATACCAAAGTTCAAAAGCATCAATACTCTTCCTGTCCTGTGTCTTTAAAGCCCAACCTTTGCTTCCATAGAGTGTCATGGGGAATATATTGCCTGCATTATTCTGATCCTTGTTGGTAGAAACACATCATTTATGATGGGCATGCCAAACCTTTTGAACAAGGTCTCAGCTGTGAAACAGGCAGTTTGGGTCATTTTTAAAGCGTTTCTGGCTTTGCAGTCCCAGCACATCCAGAATGATTGAGACAGTCCAGTTGAGATTGGAAATGTGGAGTTTCACACTTCAAACATTTTGCACAACCCTAAAATATTTCTGTCCTCTTAAAACAGGCAAGGCAATGATTGAGTTGCGGGATGGACCCACTGGTCTTAAGAGTTGGTTCCTCCCTGTCCTACCCCTTCCTGCCTAGGGAGACCTTGGGGAAACAGCCTCCTTTATCTGGTATCCAGCAATCAGAGCAAGTGAACCTCCCTCAGCTAGTACAAAACCTTTAGAGTTGCCATCACTGCTTATGGCAAAAGATACTTTAGAGATCACCTAGTCCAACCCCCCGCCTTGTCCAGGGTCCACTAGTGCAGGGTTCCTTAACCATGGCAGCTTTAAGAG